CCTTCCCAAGGGACACAAAGACACTGTCCGTGTCACATGACACCTCAAACAGGAGTCAGGAGACGCCAGTTGGTCCCAGTTTAATGTGCATTGTTCAAATTCCCACATCACCCTCTCACGAACAGTAGTAGGGGCGTAGGGGTCACACCTGGGCATGGAATTGGAGCGAGAGAGAGAAGAGAGAGAGAGAGAGAGGAGGGGGGGGGAGAGAGAGAGAGAGAGAGAGAGAGAGAGAGAGCCGATTTCCAGGCGGGTGGGTGGAGCCGGGGACAAATTGCCGCTGCTCTGTCACAGCTAGGGCAGAAGTCTAGGCCAGTGACTAAACCAGTGGGTGGCATTCAAGTGGTTGTGAAAACTGGTAGCAATTACCTAGAACTAGGAGTGACACACATTTCCGTGTTCCAGCGCGCGCGCGTGTGTGTGTGTGTGTGACCGGTTGTGAGTATTTTTTTTTTTACTACCACTCATACCCTACTCATTCACAAATAATAGGCAGAGGTAGAGAAGAAAGGAGTGAGGAGTTCTACAGTAAAAGTGCAAAAGTTGCGGGCGCTTAGGTGTAAATTATCTCAGCCTCCACCCGACTTAGGTAGGTGTGAGAGAGTGGGGCGATACATGTACAATGTACTTCGTTCTAAACAAAGACGCTGCAGCAAGCCTCGGACTCTCACGTTTCACTTTCCTTAGTGGGTTTCTTCCCTTGTTTGTGTCGGCCGGCCTTCATTGTGCACTTTAGTTTTGTGTCATCTTCGCTGGTGGAGCGTTGACGCGAATTCCGAAGGGATGGATTATTTTTTCTTTCCGCGTGGAACTGAATACAGTTGTTGTGAAGGGGGAAAATGAAGCTTACACGTGTGATATAGAAAAACGAGTGATCTCGAACTAATAGACGTAGACTGGGAATAATTTTCGATTTGAAGCTTAATGTTTGCATTTAAATATTAATTTTCATGTAAAGGTAAAAGAGAAGAGATTTTAGATAGAAAGAGACAATTCTTGCTGTTGGCCAAAACTGTGTCTGACAATAACGCTACATGCTTTAAGTCAAATTTCAATAGATATGTCCCAATGTATAGTGTTGCAAGTGCCTTAAAAATCTTACTAAAAACTTTTAAAATAAGTCCCACTGTAAGAGATAAAACGAATGAAGTTACTGATACTAAATTGCTACCGGATGATTCGTGAGTAAAAATATATTTATTTCTCTTGTAAACAGAGCACTCTGCACAAACTTTGGAAAGATAGATGTTCGAGAAATGTTAAACCTCATTCGATCAAAACGAAGAGACCGTGAGAGAAATAACACAAGGTTGTGTCTATCCAACGACTGTTGTAAAAACCTGTGGACAAAAATGATAAATGTACAGCCAGCTGCTTTTAAAGTCATGTAAACAAACTTGACAATTTTATCTTAAAGAAACATAACTTGATTCATAATTGTAGGAAATCTTCTGATAGTGTTTACGATGTAGTAGCACTTTTTTTCAGCTAAGCTTGGGATTATGCCATCTGACATGGTGTGACATAATTCTACATGCGTTTGTAAACTGACTTCAAACATAATGAAAGAAAAAAGGAGGTACATCGAAATAAAGTTCATCCACTTTAAGCTGGCAAACTGTAAATGATATAGGCCCAGATTTAGCATGTTGCAACAACTTTGGTTGAAAGTGGAATGGAATTATTAAATTCTAATCGGCCTAAAATAATACTTATGAAGCAGCTTTTAAATTGCACCTCTTCCTTACAACTACGTAGTAAATAGTTTGTTACCCAGCCAAGACCTTAAAGTCAGAGTTGCTGGCTGTAGCGAGCCACTCACTCTCAATTATGCTGCATACCTACCCTTAATAACGAGTTCATTACCGCCGCGTGTGCTAGCGGGCCATGTGGCCAGTGTCCGGGTTTAGACGAGCTGTAAACAGATGCCAGCGTCACCGCCAGGCCATCCTTCTACCTGAACACATTAACCGTTGATACGTTAATGAGGGACTGAAAAAGAAGAAGGAAAAAAAAACCCCAACAGCGGACGAATATCACGTGTGTAGGGAGATAATATTATTATAACAACTATTCCAAATTCGTTTTACTATCGATACTACGTTTTCTTTGCGGACATTGAAATTTAGAAACCATAATTATTACTGCTTGATGTCTTGGGGTGAAGCATAATTTGTTGGCAAATTTATATTAAAAACCGTCTTCAATATCGATAAAGAACCTACTCAAAACGCTGACTGGTAGCTAGATCTACTTGTACCTCGCATGTCTTGCGACAGTGATTCTGTTTTTTAAACCGCCAGGGAGCACCGTAAACGCTAGGCAAAACAAAAGAAGACATTCTTTATTGATTAATAATAAAATGACGCCCGTTTTGTGATCACATGCTTTGAACGAGTAATAAGGAGTGCTCCATAATTATGTTGTTCATGAATAATGATAACTTGGTTTTGCACATATTTAGTATAAAACATAAACAAGACGATACTGCTCTTCAACAATGTGTTCTTAGAGCTCGGATTTAATGAACAGCAAACATTGGTGTGAAGGAAACTGGCAAATTTAGTACATGTAGTAATGAGAACGTTAAACCTTGAAAAAAAAGTCCAGGGTCATAAAGTTTAATAATGCAGCATGATCGCTGTGTGGGAAACGCAGCATTTGTAGGGCAGTGAACGAGTGTTAGAGATATTGCCCTGGGAAGGGATACTATTGCTGGTGTACTATATTAGTATCTTTGTGATAAAAACTATCAGTAACAATGTCCGTGGGAGTGGTGCTTGTTCAGATCCTCTTCATTCATTGTCTCAAGAGTGTCTTGGCCTTCAACGTGGACACCGACAGTTCACTTGTCTTCAAGGGTCCCACGGACAGTTACTTTGGATACTCCGTGGCTATTCTCGAAAATTCTCAAGGCACCTGGTAAGTGGATTTCCCAACGTGGTTTGAGTAATGGAGTGGTTTCTTCGGCTTTGTTGCTGCTGCTGCTGTTGTTGTTGTTATTGTTGTTGTTGTTGTTGTTGTTGTTGTTGATGATGATGATGATGATGATGATGATGATGATGATGATGATGATGATGATGATTTTGTTGTCGTTGTTGGTGTTGTTGATGATAATGATGATGATTTTGTTATAGTTGTTATTTTTATTGTTTTCGTTGTTGTTGTTGTTGTTATTGCTATTTTATTGATGTGTTCGTCTTGTTCTTGTAGATTAATTTTCTGGTAGGATTTCAGGCAATTTGCCTGCGTTCTAATTCTGAAGCAAAAAACATTGTTTGGACATCCCCAATCCCTTGACAATATTCTGTTGCACTATCAATATCTGTTGCACTATCAATATTGTTACAGACTTAATATGATAAAGTTTCAATGAATATTTTCGTTTAAGATTTTTAAAACAAACAGTGAAGCGACATTTTGAAAATATCTATTGCAATACAATACATGAATGTGAATAATGAAATGAAACTGCCGAGGGACAGAAAATGGCCCAAATATTTCCTGTTGTTGTTCTTCTTCTTCTTCGTCTTCTTCTTTTTCTTCTTGATCTACTGACATTGACACTTTATTCATTGTGATGATGCTGTTGTTGTTGTGATTGTTGTTGTTGTTGTTGTTGTTGTTGTTGTAGCTGTTGTTGTTATTGTTTTCTATAGTTCGTTGTGTTTTAGGCTGTTGATCTCCGTCACGGGATGAGTTCAGGTGAACTAGAGAAAGTTTGATGATATCAAGAACTGAAATAGAAACGTAAGGAGGGATAGGTGGGAGGGAGAGAGAGGGTGGGGCAGAAGAAGAATAGAGGGGGGGGGAGAAATGGAGAAAGAGAGAGAGAGCGAGAGACAGAGAGAGAGATAGAGAGAGAGAGAGAGAGAGAGAGAGAGAGAGAGAGAGAGTGAGAGAGAGACAGAGACAGACACAGAGAGACAGACACACACACATACAGAGAGAGAGAGAGAGAGAGAGAGAGAGGGAGAGAGAGAGAGAGAGAGACAGAGAGAGACAGAAAGA